GTGACAAGGCATTTAAGGAAAACTCAAAATTCAGGCACCACAGGCCTACTGTAATCCTAGTACTGAGGAATCAAAGGCGAAAGGATCCAAAGCTTAAGGCCAGCCTGGTGAATTTCAGACCAGCATGAGAAATATTGAAAAACTCTCTCTCTCTCTCTCTCTCTCTCTCTCTCTCTCTCTCTCTGTTCTCAAATGTGTCTGTGCAATTAAGGGCTAATCTTTAAGGATATATTTGTCAACTGAAGTAGGAAACAATGCTCAATAACTGGAATATTTACACCTATCAGTTTCATATGAGTTATCACTCAACTTAGGACCACTGTAGAGTGTAGACCTGTCCAGATTAAGAGTAAGTACCATTGACAGTATTCAGAGCCTTAGTGCCACTTAGAAATATGTATCATCTTTTACTTGAGAATTTCATAGATTAGTACTGTGTTTACACATTCTCATCCCTCATAACACCGTCCAAATCTTCCCCTGTCCCTCCAACTCTCCATTTGTGACCTCTTTTTAATTATTATTGTTACATGCACACTTGCACATGGACACACACATATGTGTGTATATATATATTCTTCTGAGTCTATGTAATAGTGCTTATAAGTGCATGAAGTGCCTGTGTTTACTTGGGCTTGGATAACCAAGCAGGAGCTCGTCCCTAGAGAAAACTGATTCTCCCTGTCTCCGCAACACCGATTGCCTGTAGCTCTTCTTCTACAGGTGCTACCTTGTGAAATTTCCCTTAGCCACACTGGGGTGTCAGCCGGTGCTGCCATTATGCAGGTCTTACTTAGGTAACCACATTGTTGAGCTTTATGGATGCATCTTCCCTGTCATGTCTAGAAGATACAACCTACCAGCACTCATCCTGTTATTCTGGGTCTTACCATCCTTCCACCCCATTTCAGTGATATTCCCTGAACCTTAGGTGTAGGGGTTGCATTGTGGATGTATCAATTAGGGCTGCAGATATGAACCTTTATCAGAAATTTTAACATGGTTTATGCTTCAGAATGCTCTAAAATTTTGGCAAAGAGTCCAATGAATGATGATGACAAATATCAATACAAAGTCTCCTTTAAGAACCACATGACATCCAAAGAAAGGTATACTATCCAGAAAGACACAGCTTCTAGCAACATCCAAATTACTATGGTAAGTAACCTCTCCCTTAAGTCCCTAGACTATTTCTAGTAACCTGGAAGATTTTATTTAGCAAGAATCTCATTTTAGGCATATCTACACAGCATTGATCCATGGGTAATTATAAATTTAGAACTTAATGTTTGACTATAACTCTGAAGGGTATATCAATACCCAGTACAGAAAGCATCAATCCCTCCACTTGCTTGTTCTTATGTGTCCAGAGCCTCTGCTTCAAGTTTAGTACTGTTCTCTGTCTTAAATGGTTCAGTTGACTAAGCCCTTGTCATCAAAGGAAAAATTTTAATTTAGAGAATGTTGACATTTAGAGCAATTTTGATCTGTTATATGAATACCTACTGGGCATTAGTGAGATCACAGTATTTCAATAGAGTCACAGTGAAAAACTGTCATCAAAATTGTTTGAAATAATTCTAGTAAGGTGGGGTTCATTGGGAATCAGCTTTTAACTATAGTTGTGTTTAAATGTTCTAAACGATTAAATGATTTAATGAATGGACTACAATTTTCCATTGGGAAGTTCATCAAAGACAAATATGATAAAAACTAAAATTAAATACTTGTGCTGAAATTCAAGCAACTCAGTACAATAAATATTTATGAATCTGGTCATATAATATTGAATCACAATAAAATTCATTTTTATATGTGATTGATTTTTCCAGATAGAATGATACACTCATGAGAATTAAAATATGCCTTCAATTGTCACTATTTTAGATATAATTTGGTAACAAGTTATTTTTCAGACATATGCATTTTCATACAGAATATGCAAATTTCAATAAGCTGTAGTTTTACAACTCAGGTGGATTATGTTATTTATCTAGCTGTGATTGGATCTGCCAAGGTCTAGTCAGGGCCAAAAGCTATACCCATTACATTAGTGATCAAAACTTTTTAGACAGGACTGGTAATTATGTAAATTGTTAAATAAACAATCAAAAAACAAAAATAACTTCAGGAAAGATCTATGAACCTTAGCATTGAATGAACAAAGTTATGCAATAGAAATTATTAATTCTCAGACCTTTGGGTGCTGGAGATATATCAGTAGTAAAGTGCTTGCCTACTATTCACAAACCATGATGTTCGAGTCCCAGAATCACATACAAATAAAAAAAAAAAAAACTCAGAATCTTGAAGGAGTACTCCAAAGCTGAAGTGTTTGAATTCAGTTTCTGAGGAAATATGCTGATAATGGTGTATCTGTGTCTATTGGTTATAGTTGGAAAGAGACAAGAACTCAGACCAAGAAGCACCTTTCAGCTGAGGTTTTTGTCTCTAATGACGGCTCCGGTGAGGGTGAAGGTTCTTCTGTAGAATGAAAGCTGTCACTGAGTTCTGCTGCTGTCATGAAAACATTGCTAAGGTGCAGAAGAGCCTGCGGTGGCAGTTCCACAAGAAGCCCATGGGGAAGAGACAGCAAGAAGAAAGCCCCTCCCACTGCTAGCCTTCCAGCCTGTGGTATACACCGACTACTGGCAAAGCTAGCAGTGTTAACAGGCAAAGCCACAGTGAGGCTTACAGATTGCAGCTATTGTACCACATAGACAAAATACAAACAAGATTCGGAAATAGTTTATGGGTGGAACTAAGGATAACCTTTCACTGAATCCTCCTGCAAAACTTAACTTTTATAAGAACTTAATTGCTCTCGGTTCTTAAGATGTCGCTCATAATTCAAGCAAGGATGGAGAAAGGTTGATTAAGGTACCTGTTCATATTATTCTAGGTACCTGTCTTTACAGCGACTCCATCAGTCTCTTCCCAAGATAAATTATACTGGATCTGTGATGGTAGTTTGCTTAACATTTCAGGAGGCACTATCCATGTTTTGTATCCTGGATATTTTTCAACATTGAAAGAAGCTAAAAAATTTAACTGGTGATTTATAATTTCTTAGCTGAGAAAAGATACTTGGAAATAGCTAAATTTACCATTTTGTCCCACGTGTGTCTACTTAATAGATTATAACAAATTAAATGGATGGATTTGTCTTTAATTAAGATCAAAACTTCCATATCTCCATAAGAATACTATATAGACCTTCACAAAAAATAAACTGCATTATTTCTTACATTTTTGAATTACCAAGAAGCAATAATTTAGGAAATTCACAATGTATCAATCAAAATTAGGTATAAGCCAAGGAATAAATTTCGTCTTTTTCATGTCTATCAAACAAACTTCCATAATGTTGAGATATAGAGCAACCCTGTGTAAGCAGAACTAAAATTCTAACCCTTTAAAATTGGCATTTGTCTTTATATGCTTCTAACAACTAGTTCCTATTGAAGCAATACTAGTCTTATTACATAGGCTTGATTTTGTTACCTACATTAATAAAAGAATTATTATACCAACACAGATCAATGCTGTTAGAAATGGATTTCATGAAAATTACTTGTCACTCTAAAATCTTATCAACTAACAGTTTCTTTTAATAGTTACCAGTAGTAGCACTGAGGATAAAAATGCTTCCTATATATATGAATATATATGTTAATATAGATGGATAATGTTTAAAAACTTCTTACCTATTGACATCCCAGATTTTGCTAGTCATATCCAGTGAGGCAGATGCCACAAAATCACCACCGGAGTGCCATGTGCAGGACCATACCGCATGTCTGTGTCCTTCAAAGGTCAAAATGCATTCACCTTTTGACAAGTCCCATAATTTAATTGTAGTGTCTCCACTTGAAGTAGCCAACTTGTTACCACTGTTTCCAAGAAAATAAAAAGACAATTTGTTTAAAAAGTCATTGACAGTTAATTTTTCTGAATTGTGTATTATTCACATATATTATTCTGAATGATTAGTGTATTTGAAGTTTGTTGGTTTTTTTCTTAGCTTCAATTACACACATAAATGGCTACATCTTATGACAATATTTGGATTCAAACAATATTTGTATTATTTAATAATTTAAACTTTGAGACACCTGTTACTGTTTAGTTTTAAACTTAATTCATCTAGAGTGTTCCTGATTAATTTACCAAATAAGTGTTTCTTTTTTCCTTTTAGCCTCTATTAGGGTCCAGTTATATGTTAGATCATATGCAAAAGGTGAGCAGAATGAGAACCATCTGGATAAGGCCTAAGATGCTTTGAAAACATTAATGAAAAAGTCATCCTTGATAACTGTCACACTAATCAAATGCTTCAAGACTTCAATTTGGATGATGAAAGAAGAAGAGAATCAGGAAAAAGATGTTGTTTGAGCTAGATCATGAAAATCAGATATTTTAGGTGCTGTGTAGTTGAGGATGAGTCATTGGATTTTCTGCTAAGGCTATTAGCATGTGTTTTTAAAACTATGGCTTTCAGATACATGAAAGCTCGTTTAAAGAAAGAAGAGGTGTGAATGGCCAGAAACATCTAGATTTTTGGGGTAAGGGTAACATATCAGCTACCAACAAATTTCACTTTCATCATCAAATCCGACTTGCATATTCTTTGTTTCTTTAGTAACTTTCACCTACTGCATAGTAATGCCCTCCTCCTCACACTGTGCTTTATGATGGAGAAATATATGTTTTGCTCTGTGTTTCTCTAGCATCAAGTATCATGACTGGCTAGTTGAAGAACTCAGTAAATGCCTTAGAAGAAATAAGAATATAAACAGATGCAGGTATAAATGAAACTATACTTTAAATGGAGAAGAAATGGTATTTCTAAAAAAGAAAAGAGGACTAACTATACATCGGTTACAAGCACTGGTTGCTCTTCCAGAGGACCTGGGTTCTATTTCTGGACCCAACATCTTGCCTAAATCACCTGTAACTCTGGTTTCAAGAGTCCAATGTCCTCTTCTGTACTCTTTGGTCATTGCATGCCCACTTGCATACATGCAGGTAGAACACTCATATACATAATACGAATTCATTCATTAAAAAATAAAATTAAAAAGGAAATGGTAGAATTATAAAACGTACTTGATGTCTGGTAAGTTTGGTTGTTTGTATATTAAGAGCGAAATCAAGCTCTCATTTACACAGGAGAAACAGCAGGCACTGACTGAGAGGGAACTCTTGAAAATGCTGCAGAGATGGTGGATTAGGAACTGAAGACATTCTCATTAAAGTTAGAAAGTACATGTACTTATTGTTTAGATTAGCACAGTTGAAATTTGCTATATGAGAAAGTTCATAATTAAATAAAAAATAAACATATTCTTTGCTTTGGAGCAATTGCTTATCTTTGCCTACATTGACTATTTATACTTTTAAGCTTTCAACACTGAATGCCAAACAGTACATTTGTCTAAAAAAAAACAACTGTTTCTGATAGGCTAGCAGGCTATTATGGATCAAAGCTTTGGTCTAGGATAAGAATTAGTGTAGTCTATTTCTGCCTGTGGTAAAAAAAAAACAAAAAAACAAAAAAACAAAAAAAACTATCCCACATAACATTTATGTACTTCTTTCTTAATTTAAACTACATTCAGGAGGAAAAGAGAACATGACTGGAATCTGGAATGACATACTACAGGTTTTTTGAGTGCTACAAACTGATATTTAGTAATAATAAAAAACAATATTTTCAACGGTTTTTTAAAATTATAACTCATATGTGTAAATTCTTTTAAATCAGTAAATAGAATATAAATCTCTGAATATCAATTTTAAATGTTTCCACCTTTCAAAAGATTATGTGTTGAACTATGAAGCAGTCTATGCTTTTGAGTCATGTGAAAACAAAGGACATTTCTGAGAAGAGAGGAAAATTTAAAATGTGAATTTCAGTGTTATGAAAGTTAGGATCCCCCCCTCAATATCTCTTCAAATCCCCAGGAAGGGACAATACTTTTCAAAAGAGGAAAAACTATGTCTATAACTAATTCTCAATGTGATAGCATTCAAATGTAAAACATGTGTCATTGCATATGTTGACACATGTGAGCAATAAAATTAGAGAAGCAAGGTGATAATTTTCAAATGCTCAAGTTTATTCATTACCTTAAATGCTAACTAGAGGGATGGGTCAAGAAAATATAGCTAGGTAGTTTCTTCTTCTGCTTGTTTAGATTTTTTTATTTATGTGTATGTATGTATCTATGCATAAATAATGTGAATAATCTACTTTATCACAATAACTTTTAGGTAGGTATGGGAATGGTTTCATAGGCATTTATATTTTATGAGTTATAAATTACACCCTTATTATATTTCTCTCTTATATTTTAAATATTTCCTAGTAAAATTGAATTCAGACTCAGTCTATTTCTTGGGTATTGTACGTAAGACATCAATGAGCATGGATTTTCCAGCATCTCTATGGTAGGTTATAGAGTCTGTTGGGTATATGCTCAGAAGTGGTATAGCTGGGTCATATGGCAGTTCTATCTCTAGCTTTTTAAAGGACAAAAATACCACTAAAAATGCTAAAGATGTTGGATTTGTTGGTTTTCCTTATTTAATCAATATATACGCATTTACATACAGCTATTTATAAACTATAGCATCCAAAAACGTATATTGATCTCATTTCTTTTTTAGAAGTTGCAAAGATTGATGTCTGAAGTATTTTAAATAAACTTGTTGGCCATAAAGAGAAATATACAAGGAAAAGTTTGATATTATGGCCAATTACAAATTGTTTCTATATTATTGGTCTTATTAAAACTACTGTGACTTTTCAAGAATTTGTGGTATAGAGAGCAAAGTAAGTCCACGTTGTATGGATTTTCCTGAGGACACATGAGCAAATATTTTATCACCCTCGGTTGACTCTTAGTGAACAGCTTAATCACCGATGTCTACCTTACTAAGCCAGTGTAAGCATGAGTGACTCAGACTACAGTATCACCAAAAGTCCACCGCACTCCGTGTGCTGACTCACAAACTGCAGGCAGCTCAACCAATTAGAACTCTCCATAGCAATGGACACTGCTTATACAACCTTGGGGAGGAGGCGTGTCAGTGTAAATTTCTGTAGCTTCCAGGGGGACCTTGTGAACTTCATTTATTTCCTGAACTTTGTGAGCCTGCCTGCTCTCTCCAGGAGAGATTACATCAATCTGAGGACATAGCAACACAACACTCCACAGCATATGACATTCAAAACAATGTATCAACTATTGATTAAACACACTTGACTATTAGGTGCATATTCAAATTGTGTTATTATCTCTATAAATGACTCTTTTGATCGTGTTTTAAAATTTTGTATGTGTTTGGCAAATGTTCGTCAATCTTTTTCTGCTTTTTAATTTCACTGCTAATCTCACTGCCGCATGTTCCTTCTGGCATACTCTTCTGGTGGTTGCCTCTCCCATCCTCTCAAGCCTCTTGGTCTCATCCTCTGGTACTACGAAGAACATTGGTGGTTAAAAAAATGCTTTATATCACACTTTTGTTTGGAAATAAGTGATCTAAAATTTTACTAAGTTTGAGTAAAGAATATTTATAATTTGTAAAGAATAAGAATTAAGTATAAATTGGGCGTGGTGGTGCATGCCTGTAGTCCCGGCACTTGGGAGGCAGAGGCAGGCACATCTCTGTGAGTTCAAGGCCAGCCTGGTCTACATAGTGAGTTCCAGGACAGTTGGGGCTACAGGGAGACCCTGTCTCAAAAAGGCCA